TTCTGGGAGTTGAAGAACACACATCTTCAAGTTGCCAAGGTTGAGCAACACTGCCCTAGAATATAAGAAAGAGGGAGGGGAAAACTCAGCCAGGCTTTCAAGATTCTGTTACTGTAGTTTACTTTGATAAAGCAGACTTCTTTACCTGGTCTACCTCAAAGGGCTGACAGTCACATATAGCCAGGCCAGCATCCCTTTTGCAATTCTTAGAGCCCCCATGAATCAGGAGGAGTCTACTAACCCCTTTTCTAACTGATTTTATTAATATGTGGTATTTGAAAAAGGTGCTACCAGACTCCTGATGTTTTGCTACCACAGACTAACCCAGCTCTCCTCCTACAATGTTGACATACAGCAACATGAAAAAGGGTGGGAGGGGGCAATGATTCTGGCCTTTAAGCCTTGTACATTGTTTGGCTTACCCACTCCAATGACATCATCATATAGCTGGCCATGCCCCCTTTGGCCCTTGCCAGCTTCACATTAAAAATAAAAGACCACTGTTGGCTGCAAAAAAATTGGCCCACTTGCACCCTAGAGCTGGTATTTGTCCCAAAGGCATCACAAACTAGATGTGGAAAATGGTATCCCACAGGAATTCTGAGGTTCAGCTGCAAGTATATGCAAGTATGCAGGACAGCAAGGGAGGTTAAGTCTTTTCAGTGAGCTGTGCTTGATGCTCCCAGGCTTAAACTCAGCAGAAAGTACCTTTTGACATGGCACAGCTAGATAAGGAGGATTGAGATTTTTAAGCCATTTTTAGGGGTTGACTGCCCTGTGCAGTCCACTCTTTTACTCACTATAGTTTAAATGTGGCACTTCTTTCTCTTGCCTTTCCCACAACTTAATGGGCACTTTGGGGCTAGGGGCATTTCTGCTACGGAAAACTCTTGACTGCCAAATCAACTCCCATAAATTGGGTTTGAAGGGTAGGTTGCTAATAATGTCCTTTCAGCCTTCAGGCGTAGTCAAAGATTTTTCTAAGGTTGAAATAAGATTTCACTGCCAGTCCAGCTGGGTTCTCTAGATGGAATGGTAGGGAAGAAGAGTCACATTTTGCAACCTTTACCTCAGGGTGCAAAATGCTGGAATAGAAAATGGAAGTGGCAAAGGTAAGTGGCTTTTGGAGCTAAGAAGAGCATATGCCAGATACAGGAGTGAAAGGCATGCTTAAGGAGAAGTCTTCTGTGATCACCACTTACTTCTTTTTCTATTTTTGCCAGGTCTATTCTCTCTGATGGAGAGATGCCGGACAGCTGGAATACATCTTCAGACAGCCTAGAAGCAAGAGCTGTAGGCATTATTGTGCCTGTGGTCTTTTCCCTCATCTTCCTTGTAGGCACAGTTGGAAATAGCCTGGTGTTGGCTGTGCTGCTACACAATGGGGAGGTGAAATATAACACTACAAACTTGTTCATCCTCAATCTGGCAGTGGCCGACCTCTCCTTCATTGTCTTCTGTGTCCCATTCCAGGCCACCATCTATACTCTGGATGGATGGCTCTTTGGTGCCATTGCCTGCAAAGCTGTGCATTTCTTCATCTACCTCACCATGTATGCCAGCAGTTTCACCCTGGCAGCTGTTTCTGTGGACAGGTAAATATAAATACTGCCTTTCCCCCAGAAGACTAAACTTCTGTCTCCTGTCTCCTGCGATGACAAAACATTGCTTGTTCAGTTGCTCTGACATTGCACTGATGTGGCTTGACATAATGTGTTGTGTGTATCCAGGCACTATGACTTATTCTTTAAAAAAAAAACACAGAAGAAACCATTGCTTAATATGACATGTGAACCCAGTCTATTTCTTCCTAAAAAGGAGAAGGAGGAGGAGAGTCTTTAATCCTTTGACTATCCAAAATCTTAACGTACCTGACATGTGACCTGTTTTTATTTATTTTTTAACATGTACTTCCTATCTTCCCATAACTAAAGCATCCCAACTGATTTGTCTCTTCAGAAATGTCCTATACATTGTTGAGGCTAAAAGTACTCCCAAGCATGCCTGGAAGCTATAGAATTGTCTCGTGCTAGAATAGATGGTTTCCAATCAGATTGAAGGAGGAGTGCATTTTAAATCAACCATTAACCTTTTTCTATAAATAAAAACAGAGCACATCAGGAAGGTAGGATCTAGCCAGCCTTCTCCATATTCTGCTAGCTTTCTACTTGCAGGGAAAATCATCCATGTAACAGAGTTTATATGGATTGCCCACCCGCCATTCTTCCGTCTCCAAATTCTCATTCCATTCAGCTGTGTGCAGGGCTGTAGCCTTAGGTCTGCTCTCCTGCTCTCCACTGATCTCCACTTTCATTCCCAACCTCCACCTATGTCACAGCCAATTAAAATAACTTCTTGCTTTCTCCACATAATTATTTCTAATTTTATCGCTTTACCCTTTTCATGCTTTCCCCTCCCTTTCCCCTTAGTAACTGTAGCTTACTTAGCAGTTCTTTCTGTTTCCTCACAAAGGGTATATGAATAAATTCTTTCAGAACAATGTCATCTCCAAACACAGCATGGATTTTTGGCATGGTTCAAGCATACAGGTTTTAAAACCCTTTCTGTCTATATTGGGAAAAAAAGATCCATATCATATTTACTGCGATTATGAAATTATGAATACCTATATCAATTTCTGTAGACTTTCAAATAGTAGGTTTTGGTGGCATTTTAAGGGTCAAATATCAAGTGACTTTTGAAAAGGGCATGAAAAAGTCCTGTCACAAGCATCGTCTGGGTCTGGGAGAAAGTGGTGCAATAAGGGCAAGACATTTAAGCAACAATGGTAAAAAGAGTGACAGGTGTGTGTGTGTGTCTGTGTAATTTATCAACCTCTGTTCTTGTTTCCAGGTATTTGGCTATTTGTTACCCACTGAAATCTCGGCATGTCCGTACCACTTGCAATGCAGTCCTTGCTATTGTCATTATTTGGACCCTCTCCCTGCTTTTTGCAGGACCATATCTCAGCTATTACCAAACCGTTAATTTCCAGGAAACGCCTATCTGCGCTCCTATTTGGGAGGGCCAACGCCGGAAGATATTAGACATCCTCACCTTTGTGTTTAGTTACATCCTCCCAATCTCTGTTGTCAGCCTGGCTTATGCCAGAACCATCAAATTCTTGTGGACTGCTGTAGACCCTTTGGAAGGAATCTCGGAGTCTCGCAAAGCCAAACGGAGGGTCACCAAGATGATTATTGCAGTGGCTGTCCTCTTCTGTTTGTGTTGGCTGCCCCACCATCTGGTGATCTTGTGCTTCTGGTTTGGCTACTTCCCCTTTAACCAAGCTACCTATGCCTTACGTCTAGCTTCTCATTGCTTGTCATATGCCAATTCCTGCCTCAACCCAATTGTCTACGCTCTCATTTCCAAACACTTCCGCAAGAAGTTCAAGCAAGTCTTCACTTGTGTTCTTGTCTAAGAAGAATAAGAAAAAGTGAGCTGACAACAAGATCCAGGTGAGCAATATTGCTGATGGTTTAATCAACCAGACTGCAGGTTTCAATGGAGGAAACACAGAAGTTACACGGCTTAATGAGGAAAATATGAGTTGCTACATGGATCTGTTGTTGAGATAAAGGAAAGCCTTTCTTCCTGAGAAATGGCTCTAGCATTTACAAGTCACTATCATATCTGAACAGAAATAATAAAAAGACCAAGAAAGTTCTGGAACAATCAACAATCACCCCCATTGGCTGCAATTCCACATGGACAACAATAATTTTAAAATATTAATGGCAGATGGTATCAATCATCCTTTCTCAGCATGACTACCATATTCTCATTCAAATCAGGCTTGGGTGGCTGGAGGATAGGTTGATTCAATTAGTTTTCCTCAATGCAACCAAAGTACCCACAATTCCTTAGGAAACATCTTGATACAACTTTAGATTGTCTCCACAGTGGGCTGAGCATGAGACAAAGACAATGTCATGAAGACATGTAATTTAAAAATGGTTCACAAGGCCTCTTTGTGCCACAGTTAGAGGGATGTGAAGATGAGCCTGGAGGCATCATTTTAATACTTCTTATTCCAGCAATGAATACAGAAACCATAAATGAAAGGTTCCAAGTTCTTGGGTTATTGTAGAAATAAAGGGTTTTGAAGATATACCTGATATAATAATAGGTGTTATTTTTGTTATTGTTTTAAGGCTAAACATACCTAGATTGATAAATGTACAGTGCATGGACTGCTTCTCCCCTTCTTCCCATTTTGTAATTAAGACATGCTGTCTGTTTTGTTTGGATTTTTTTTTTTTTTGGTCATGAATCCACATGTTTATCCTGCATTTGTTTTTGCTTTTTTTTTTCAAAAAAAAGAGAGAAGGATTTTACATTATTTTAAAACACTTAAACATTGTTCTGAGAGAGGAAAAAATGGGGGTCCTGATTGTCACAAGGATAAGCCAATAGAGCTGTGTAGAGCTGTAACAATGGTGTCACGGTGATATGCGCTAAAGTTCATTGGTAGTTTTGATTCAAGACTTTTTAGGACTCTGAGGGTCCTAAGGATAAAATGTTCAACTCAGTCTCTCCTCCTTTTCTTCTTATTGCTTCCTGTGTCAATGCAGCTTTTTTCCCCATTGTTTTTTGTTAGTTATAATCAGTAAACGGGTGTGTAAGAGGAAACACAGAATTATAGAATCATTTTTGAAGCTGCATTTTAGGGATTAGTTTTATTCCTTGAATGAAGAGTATGGTTTCATCTGGAGATTTCAAAAGCTGAAACATTTTTGGGGTGGAAGTCCCTCTGTATTTGGGTCTTGGAGCTACTGAACCTTTTTCACACATACCCAAAAGACCCCATTTACCATCTCAAAGCTGAACACTTTATTATTATATAGTTTATGATGGAATTCATACATCATACTAAGCCATAATGTGATTGGTTTTGGCTTAGCATATTATATGAAAACATCATACTTTGATTGAGAGACTCTGGTTAAAACAAAATACGACATGTGAACCCAAGTTACTGTGTATTTATTTTGGGTTGGACAGGACTTTTAAAGACTAGAGAGGCCTTTTTTATTTTCCTGTTTATTGTAATTTTCCCTGTCTTTAGCAGTTAGGTCAGTTTGAATTCAGCAGTAACCTAGAAACAAAGTATTACTGGTATCAGTGAATATTTATTTCTCCAAATGTCCTTAAGTTTAAAACTGTGGTTGTTTACACTTCTCTGGGGTGCAAATTCTACTGACTTAATGGGACTGACTTCTGAGTCAGCATGATCAGAAGGAACGTTCGTAAGAGCCATCAGCATAATAGGCTCTCATTCTGTGCTCTTTTGTTAATGAACAGAGTTTCATAGGAATTAGCAGAATGCATTTTTGAATAAGTAATGGTAAGCTAGTATTTCACCCACGTATATCAATGAGACTGACTCCCGCAAAGACCTGATTAAGGCTTAACTTTAATTATTTCACATTCATAAATATGTAGTACAGCACATCAGTTTCTGTTGCCTGACTCTGAAAATTAGAGCTGGCCCAAGAATATTTAGTTAATCCTCTGCCTCCTGGTTTCAATGCTTTGTATCAGAATGGATCACAGTTTTCAATCTTGCACCTTAAACCCAGTGGGGAGGAAAGCTGATAGCTCATATAAATAGCTTATTATTTCAGTTTCACTCCAGGCCGTAATATTCAAAAGAGTTATTGTAGAGCAGTGAGAATATATGGGAAGCTTGCTTCAGCTACATTCCATTATTATTTTTCCACTTTTCCATGAGTTGCAGAATCATAGGTGCTATTATGAGATTGATTTTTCTGCCAGACAACTTTCCATCCAAGATTAGTTTTCTAGAGTCATGTTCATCAAAGCCTCACAAGAATTTTTAAAACAGTTTAAAGTGGCACAAAAGAACCTTTGCTTATATATTTATTTTTTTTAAAGGTTTGCATCCATTCAAATAGGTTTTGCTAGTTTTTAATTGATGCACAAGCTAACAACACTTGTTTACCAGAGGAAGATGAGCATACTGTCTTTCAAATCACCTTCAGTTTGTTGGAAGTATAAAATGTCACCTTTTTTCAATATGTCTTTGCAACCCCAAATGGCCCATCAGTCACATGATCTTTATTACACTTATCCCCCTTTCAAGGCACTGTGTTTGTGGTACCAGGCCGGCTTTGATCAATCATTGGTGGGTTCCCTGGGAGGGCTCTGTATGTGAGAGGGTGAAGAAGACAAGTCATGGCCATTCACCAGCCACTCTCAAAAATTCCCTCTCTGTGAAGACAATACATTTTGTTAGCCACTGAGGACAGAACATGAATAGGGTCAGTATATCACTTTCTCACCAGGCTATTATTTTGACACACCAAGGTCTCGATGACACTAGGGAAGAAAGGCTCATCTGAGTGTTTGTAATCCGTATTTCTGCTCCTTTTTTTCAGTCCCTCTTTTGGTTCTCTTGCTTATCCCTTTCCTAAATCCATCCTATTGTAAGAATCCATGATAAGGCTAGTGATGCTTTTCTTTCATAGATTATGACAAAGTAGTATATGTGAAAATATTACAACGAAAATCAAGATAGACTTTATCAGAAAGACTAGATTAGATTAGATTAGATTAGATTAGATTAGGATTACTACTCAGCCCTTCATAAAGCCATTCAACGTTCAGACACATTGCTCATCATAAGTATTGATCCAGAGCTATTTCTATGTAGCAGCAAAGGCTTTTATTAGAAAAAAACCTACTTCCATCTTGGAAACAGGCCATCTCCTTCCTTAATACTGCATCTCATAAAGTATCTAAGCTAAGGTTTTGCCTAGAAGAAGCGTTAAGAATTGTAATTGTGCTTTTTAAAAAAATTCATAGTTTTTTTCTTTTTTTTCTTTTGCTTTCTTGCACTTTTTATTCTCTATTTTTTTCTTCTTTTTAGTTTGTATTATCTTTTATCACTGTAGTCAAAACTTAATAAATATTTAAGAAAAATATTATTTTTTTATTTTTTTATTATTATTTTTTTAAAAGGTCATTCTGAAGGTCACTATGTTTTCGGCTGAACTGCAGCTGAGCGTAAAGTAAGCTGAGCTCTGAACAGAAATTGGGTTGTGGGATTGCACAGGTGTGGAACCAGTCTGGGAGTGCCACAAACATTGTGTGTGGATGTGCCACACATGTTACTTACTTCTCTTCCTAAAATGAATATTTTCTTCTAGTCCATCTTTGAACTACAGCAAATATTTCAATATCCTATTGGCAATATAGCCATATAGCACTCCTAGTCATGTTTACATGGAAATGAGCCCCACTACAGGAACTTCTAGAGCATCGTGGTCTTGGATCCAAATGTAGGGGTCTTAGCAGCTGTTTCACCATAGTAAGAGGCTGGTGAAATTAAGTAGAGTGAGGTAGTCAGCTCCACTTCAGTGCCAAAATGTCTTTGGAGAACCTCTGCTTTGTGACATCTGCCATATTTGATAAGGCCCTGGCATCAGTATATTTTATCTCTTCACCAGCTTAAGAATATTTACCATTTATCTGTCAAAGAAGGGGGAAAGGAAAAGGATTCAAGCATTGTGCTTGCTTTGGCAGCAGAGAAACTAAAACTGGATTCAAGTGTGATCCTCTGAAGACAGTCAAGCTGGGCAATGCAGTGAAATGTGATCTTTGTCTGAGAAAAGGAAAAGAAGAAGCTGAAGAAAGAATCTAGAAAGAATAAAAGCAGGAAATAAGGATTCTACAAAGAAAAGCAGATCAAGAAGGTACCGCAAGGTATGTTCTATAGCTATTGTAAATAAAAAAAATAATGCCGTGTTTATGGCCAGTTCATAAAGAACAATCCATGCACAACTGCCTTTGTGAAATATATTTCTCAGAGAAATCTCTATATGTCGGCTATTAACTCTTTTTAAGATGGAATTAATGGAAGTTCTGTTCGTGAGATCTCATTAAAACCTGTATTTGGCAACACTAAGGAAACTTGAAACAAAAGTTTTAGATACCAGATTCATATCTAAGTTTTAATTCATGCAATTGCCTATAAATACACATATTCATACACACACACACACACACACACACACACACATTCCTTTTTGTTTAATTATCATAAAATACCATTTTGGCTGAGATGATGCAAAGTGAAAAATCCAACACTGCACAGTTGCCAGGTTGAATCGATGCTCTGCTGCATTTCTGTTGACAGTGACTTGTTCAAATGAGATCCTTGGGGAACCATTACTCAAAATTGCAAAATATCTACTTGTCATTATAGTGAAGCTTTTTAGACTTAAAAGGGAGAGAAAGAAACCATACCAGGCATTAGCCATGACTATGGCCAGGATAGTTATACTGCCAAGACAAAATAGGGGAAGGCAAGCCTTTCCCCATTTCCATCAAAACATGGGATAAATGTGCCCCAACACACCAGCATGATGTTTTCTGCTGTGTTCCTTATAGCAATGCCTTCAGCTCACCCCCACCCATACCTAAAGCAGTTTGAAATTGTCTTTAGCTGTTCCAGTGTTAAAATATTGTCCGCCCCCCCCCCCTTAAGCTGATAACAAAAAGACATGGTAGTTTTGCTATGAGGAGAATCACACCACTTCACTGACCACTCAGTTGGTATCATAGACAGATGACCCACTAGGGGGTGGGATCAGCGTAGCATCTACTGATTGAACCACTTTAGGCTGGTGCGGATAAAACTCTTCCCCTCTGATCCTGGACAGTGTCTTCAGTCTGCTCTGAACATCAGGAGAGTCCAATTATTTCAAACTGGGCTGTCCCTCTGTACCCATCAGGTCTTCAGAGTGATCTGCAGACCTGGGTCAGTTTGAACAGTAGCTGACCAGCAATGGCAACTGAAGGTGGGGCAATGTGCAGTAGAAAAACAGAGCCTGCTCTCTCTCTCTCTGCTGCTTCATGCTATACATCTCTCACTACATATTTCAGCTTTTTTAAAC